TGCCCCTCACCAGCCTGGTCACGCTCAACTTGGGCAGCAACAGGTTGGGGGAGCTGGATCCTGGGGTGTTGCATGCCCTGCCCCAGCTCCAAGCTCTCCTCCTGCAGGACAACCCCTGGGTGTGCAGCTGCGGCATCCTGCCCCTCTGGCGCTGGCTCAGCCGCAACAGGGAAAAAGTGCAAGGTGAGTACCTGGAGGACCGTGTCGCCAAGCCCCGTACCCACTGGCTTGTCACCCCGTCGGGACTGACGCAGGACCCGCCCCCCCGGGTAGCTTGCGTGGTCGGTGCCCGTGGGGGTACGGCGAGGTTCCCCAGGACCTGTCCTCAGGTGATGGCAGCTTTTGTGTCTGCTTGGGTGGATGCATCCCTTGGTCTGGTACCTGGTGCCCACCCTTGGTTAGCAGCAGGGAGGGCTGGGCAATGTCCCAGCAACGGGCAGCCAGCACTATCCCCAGTAGTGGCACCAGTCCTGCCACTTTGAGGGCAATGAGCACCTGAGGGGGCAAGAAGAGCCTGTGTGTCGGGGTGGGCATCACCGCTGACCCAGACAGGACTCAGCGCCTTCAGCTCCTTCCCTGATGCCTTCATGAACATGGGTCTGATGCTGCATTACTTCCCTGTGAACCTCAGTGAGAGACAGCCCTGCCAGCAACGTCTCTCCCTTCACCACCACCCACTCCTGCTTGTTTCCAGCTTGGGTGCACGCCTGTCACTTGTGCTGGCTGGGACCTTTTGTGGCATCTCCAGTCTGGCTGCTCACTGCTCCCCACATCTGTCCCCTGGGAAGCAGACCCACCTCCTTGCCTGCCCCATCTACCGTCCTGCCTCAAACCTATTTTCCAGTGCTCCCTCCAGCACTGTGCCCACCTCCCCATCCCATCCCACTCCCCATGGCACAGGACACAGATGAGCCCTGAACCCTCACTGTTCCCCTTCTTTGTACCCTGCCCTGGGCCACCTTGGTTCACCTGGCCCCTGTCCTCCTGCCCTGGTCCTGTCTGTCCCATACAGATCTGCCATCCCCTCTGTCCTTGGCACCTGCCTTGTCCCAGCTGCCCAGTGTGCCTGTCAGCACTGCTTTTCTCTTCCAGAGAAGAGTTTGCTCCGCTGCAGAGTCCCGGAGCAGCTGAACAAGTATCCGATCATGGCTTTCGGGAATGAGTCCTTCAGGCAATGTCAGGAGACCTCATTGTCTGCCCAGCAATACATCGTCTTCTTGATCATTGGACCGTTCTCCTTCGTGGCCAGCATTTTCTTCTGTACCTTCATGGGCTCCACCATAGTGGTTTATCACAACCTGAGCAGGGAACCCCACTGCTGGAGGAGACCCCGCAACCGCAGGAGCCACCGAGGCAGAGTGACCAGGCTTTAGCCCTGGGCAAGCTGTGGTCCGTGCCCTTCTCCAGCTGTCTGCACCCCTCTGTTGTAAACATTTCCCTGTGGACCAGTGAGAGGATGCTCTGTTCCTGGAAACTGCTTCTCTTCCTCCTCCCAGAGTCCCCCGAGATGATGCCAAGCTCCCTCTGCCCCACTGTGGGGGGGGAGCAGCCTCAGGCCCTCCGCAAGACGCGGTCTGACCGCAGATGCTCTCAGTGTTTTAGGAGGCTCCCCCAGACCACCCTCAGACCTGCACATTCCCTTCCTGGGTGGGGGGCAGGTGATCCTTCTCCTCCAGCTCACCCTCTCCTGCCCTTTCTGCTGCCCAGGGACCTCAACGTGCATTTCGGGATGCAGCGTATGCCTCCTTGTGCCTTTTGGTGCATCCTGGAGGCCCCTGTGTGCACCTCAGGACACACCATATTCCCCTGGGTGCCTTTCAGTGCACTCCAGGAGTCTCCATTTGTCTTTCGGCGCAGCCCAGGAGCCTCTGCGTGCCTTTCAGTTGGCCCCAAAGCCCTCCTGGAGCCTTTTGGTGCACCCAGCACTCCCCATCTGCCACTCAGTGACCCCAGCAGCCTCAATGTGCCTTTCCGTGCTCTCAAGACTCCTTGGCTTGGCTTTTTGTGCATCCAAATGCCATCCGTTTGGCTTTCTGTGTCCTGACAGGCATTGGTTTGCCTTTTGGTGTGCCCCAGAGCTCTCCACGTGCCTTTTGGTGCCCCTGAAGATCTCTGGGTGCTTTTGGGGCACTCCAGAGCCTCTACGCAACTTTCAGAAAACCTTCTGACCTCTCCGAGTGCTGCCCAAGGTCAGGGTAGGTTACAAAATGTTTCTTTTGATAGTTTGTTTTTTTTCCCTCAAGACAGGGCTGCTAGTGCTGAGGAGGCTCAGCCAACAACCGAGACCTCAAGTAAGGCTGAGGTGTAGCGTGAGGGTTGGAAAGAGACAAAGCCTCGAGCTCCCACTGATGCAGCTTTGCAAAGGGGCTGCCAAAGGGTGGGTGAGTGGTTCCTCCCCCAGTAGCTTTTCCCCTAGGCTAAAGCTCGTCCAAGGCCCAGGTCTAGGGTTAGCTGAGTGATGGGAGTGGGGACAAAAATCCCGTGTGGGTTTATAGCACAGAGCCTGCAGCCCTTGCTGCTGCCTCACCTCCCGTCACCCACAAAAAGGGGCTGGGGCTGCCCCTGCGTCTCTCTGCCCTGCTGCCTCCTTCCCTTCCCTGCGGAAACGCTTCTCTCTCACATTGCATGGAAATGCTTGGTGAGTGTACTGGGAGATGGTCTGGAAGGAGCTGGAGCTGGAGCTGTGCTCCAGAGGGAAGCACAAGCTGGGCTGACAAAAGCATTTCTCCAGGAGGAGCAACAGCCCTTTCTGGCATGAGTTCTTACCCATTGCAAGGCGATAAAAGCCCCAGTGAGATGACTGTGGCCACCAGCCTCCCCCTGTTTGCTCAATCTCTTGCTCCTGCAAGAGCTGTGGGACAAGCTAGGGATGTGGTGGGGGTCAATACATCCTTTGGCAAGCTCTTGGCAAGGGTTAAATAAATCACACAGAGAATAAACCAAGTATCACCTGAGTTGTGGCTTGCTCCCATTTTTAGTTTCAAGAGAGAAACCAACCCAGCATGCTGCCGCACTGCTTGATTCCCACTCGGCTGTTCCTGCGGTGCCTCTTCCCAGGGAGGGGTGCGAGGGCTGCAGGGAGCTACTGGAAGCAGCAGCTCCTCCAGTGCTACCAGCCCTGCACCGGGAACGGCTGCAGGACTGCTGCCAGGATCAGCTCCTTGCACGGTGCCCTTCCCAGCAGCAATCCCAGCTCTTCCAGACCCTCTCTAGTGACAGCACTGAGTCCCTCCTGAGAAGGCCTGGCCTTCCCATTTGGAGCTAGGACCTTGCTTATCATCCTGCACGGCCACCTGAGCCTCGGTCCTCCACCCAGATCATCCTGAGGCTGAGACCCCCATGGAGGTTGGGCTGGTGGTCTGAGTACATAGGGAGCATGCTGGGAATGAGTGACGTTGCTTCAGTTCAGCCCACAGGAGCTGCCCTTCTCTTTTGTAAATCCCTTGGGGCATCTCCCTACAGATGGGCTGATGTGCAGGGACTTCCCCAGATGCCTTCATCCCTGCAGTTGATCCTCTGTTCCCAAAGGCCAGCCCAACTGGCAGTGACCCAGGCTGGCTCCCAGGAGCTGGGGAGCACAGCGATGGCAGGGGATGGTTCTCCCCTGGATGGAGATGGGAGAGAGCCAGCTGGCATGGTGCTGGCATTGGGACAGTTTCAGACTGTCCCCAACACCCCGCTGCCAGGCCTGTCCTCCCACACCAGCTGTTCAGGCTGTCCATCAGCCTGGCATCCCAGAATGACGATGCCCCTTCCCTCCCAGTCCTCCCTGCAGCTCCTGGTCTCTCTCCCTGCTGGATTCTGCATCCTTCCCCACCCCTCCAACCTTTTCCTGTTCGCAAACCCTGCAGCAATGCTGGGTGAGGCCCTGATTCAGCACCGGGCTCCCTGCCAGTTTTACCAGAAGGCAGAGACGGAAAGAGGCACGTGGCACTGGAATAAACCACTTCATGATCCAGTCTAGACTTTACTGAGCTCTTGCAAAAACTTGGTATTAATGTTACATTGACGTATAAAGTAGAATGGGTCCAATTTCTCAGCTGGAGCGAGATGAACTTGATGAGCCACTGCAGTCAGTGGGAGGATGCTCACAGACCTCAGCTGCCGTCTGAAAATCCTGCCTGCAAGGGCTGCCTGCCCTCAGGGGGAAGGCCCATCTGCTCGGCTGGGGCAAGAAGGCAGTTCATGCCACTGGGTTTGGTACCACATTGCAGGTGGGTTTTCCACCTTTGCAGGAGGCAGGATGTGATGTTGCTGTAGCTGCTCATCACCAGCCTGGCTGATGCCAGATGCTTCCCCGACGCTGGTGTCTCCACACCCGCTCGCAGCGCCCACAGGGAGGGTGCTCAGTGATGCTGGCACATGGGCACGTATGCTTGAGAGGAGGAAGGTGTGGGGAGGAACGGCATCAGCATGTGTCGTTTGGTTCCCTTCTCCTGAAATGGGATCTGGTTTCCACATCTCCAGGTTCAGGTAGAAGCAGCCACATGAGCTGGGGCTTCAGGACTGCTGTGGGAGCTGCTGGCAAGCTTGAACTGCAGGTGAGTGTGGCAGGGATGCTGTGGTGCCCCGACACCGTAGGCCGGCTGGGTGGCCTCTGCAGACACCGCAGCACACAGCAAACCACGACCAGACAGCAGCATCTCTCCTTGCATCACTGGTGCTGAGGCAGTGTGGAGCTTGGCTAAAGGTCTATGCAGCCATCCAGAGCCATTTCCCGTGGAGATGTTCCTGGCCAGGAGAGCCATGGTATGAGAGCTACATGATGGCCATGGCCAGGTCTTCCATGCAGGAGAGGTGGGGAGCCAGGATCTTGGCTGGCAGGACTTTATGAGCTCTGGAGTGCTGCTTTTAGCACAGGAGGTTGGGCTGCAGGGCTGGGAGCACTCCTGCTGCAAACAGACCACGTACAGGAGCCAGGTCATAGCCATGGGCTGACGGGAGGGAGGAACAGGGGGTCCATCTCCTGCGAGGAGCAGAGCACACACCTTCCAGCCCCTGCTGCAGAGGCGGGGGTCACTCGGCACAGCAGGAACACGTGCCCAACCTGGCGAACCGTGCTGGCTGCTCCAGCTGCTCGGGACCACGACCACGTCACACTGGAGCCCTCTGGGGTGCTGGGAGATGTGGAGCACACGTCTGAGGGGCCATGCGTGTGCTGAGAAGCCCGAAGCCTGCAAAGTGAAGCACAGGTTTGTAGTCTGGCACCAGCTCCTCCCTGCTACAGTGGGAGAGCAGGCACCATGTGCCTTTCGAAGTCCTTTCCCCTTGCACGTAGCCAGTCAGTGGGAATACTGATTATCAACAGCACTGGTTGGAAGCAATTATCTCTGTACAGTGAAGTCCAAACCGTGTCCTGGTTCTGCCGTGCATTCTGGGGCACAAGCATGGCAGCAGGCCTAGGAAGGGAGGGAGATATACAATGAAGTCACTGTGTATGGATGAAGGATGCTTTCCTCCCGTCTCACCCAGAAGAACCCATCAGTGTCCCTTGAAAGGCAGTCCTGGCTGTGCCTTCCTACTGTGTTGGGCAAGGACTGATGGCCCTCGGGGAGAAGGTCACACCACAGTGCTGACTGAGGGGTCGGAGAGGTTGAGCTGGCCGGTGATGTCGGTGGGATGATATTGCTGCAACACACAAATACACAGACAAGGAGAAAGTGTTAGGCAGTTCTGGCACTTGCCCCCGCCTCTACTTACACCCCATGTGTCCCTACAGGATATCTCTTGGGGGTGATGCAACGACCCGAAACCTGCTGCTGGCTGAGATCCCCTTCCCAATGCAATCCAAGCTTGTGCAGAGGTCGTTGCAGACACTCTCCAAGCACCCTACGGCTGGGCAGGGAGGATGCTCAGGAGCGCGGCGCAGCTCTTGCAGAGCGTGGCAACCGTGTCGTCTGCTGAGCGAGCCCCTCTCTGCTCTGGGAGAGCTACAAGACAAAGCCTGTGACTCATCAGCCCAGCCCACGGCTGAACCTGTGTTTGGAGGGTCTGGCTGGGTTTTCGGCATCTCGCTGGTGCCAGATCAAGCTGTGCTTTGAGGCCAGGGCATTTCACCTCCTTGCTTGAATGACTCTGCTTTGACTATCCTTTCATGCAGGTGAGGAGATGTGCAGTGTGGTTGACTTGCGATAAACTGTAGCGGCAATTGCTAATGTGAAAATACAGCCTGTGTTGGGGATGCGGCCTGGATTTGGGGTTCTGCGCTCCTTGAGGATGGGGGGGCTTGGCAAATGATCCCTGGGAGAGATCTCCCCAGCCGCAGTCCCACCAGCAAGCAAACGGGGAAAGCAGAAATAGCCTTCAATGGGCAAGAAAAAAAAATCCTTCCTCCCCAGGCAGGGATTTACAACCGGGCAGTTATTTTCACCTTTCCTCCTTCCATACTCCCTTCCTCTCCCAGTTCCACTCTCCTAACTCCAAACCCTGAACTGGAAGCCCTTTCCAGCCCTGCTGCGCGAGTGGGTGGCATGGAGTATCTTGCGCTGCTGTCTGGGGACCTAAATCGGTGCCGGGGCAGGAAAGGGTCTCGGTGGGTGTCGTGTGATGCAGTGCGGACCCTCTCCAGTGACATTTGCCCAGCCCTTGCATCACGCTACCCAGGAGGGTTGCCATTTTGCCGGGCTCCCGGGGGGCTCCTCAGTGACGGGATTTTTACCTGTCTTGCGTTGGTCGGTAGTGACTGTGGCCCTCACGGTACTGCTGGCGGCTCTGGCACTGTGGCTACCCTGCATGACTCTGCACCCTGCCTCCTGCCACGGGGAGGTCTGGGGTCCCCCTGAGCGTTGCGGTGGGGTCCTCAGGGCTGCCCTGCTCTGCCCAGTTCTGTGCTTCACCAGGACCTCTTGGTGGGGAGATGCTGGGGCAGGGGTGGGAGCCAATGTGTTCCCATCTCTCCGGTACACGTGTTGGGGACGTGCTGACACCCTGGGACCATCTCACGGGATCATTCTTTCATTCAGGGGACTATCTAATATTAAAATAGAGCCTCTGAGAAATTCCTTTCTGTGGCCTTGCTTTGCTAAGTGGCAACACCTTGGCCATCGCCCGTTTGCACAGAGAACGGCCGAAGCGATCCTGAAATCACTCTGCCGCCTTGGGGGGAGCTTTTTGTGGCTATTCATCAGTCCACTAAAAAACACTCCTCTCTTCCCAAAAATGGGTGCAGCTGCCCCCTCCTTGCGAAAAATTAGGATTCCAGCGAAAGGCAATCTTTCCTTTCCATAGCAAAATGGCCAGGAGGAGTGCGCTCGCGGGATGGGGCTTAATTCCCGTGGGGAGAAGTGACTGGGAAAGGGGAGAGGCTGGGTGACTCACTGGTGGAGAAGAAGGAGGAAACTGAGATAAAAAAAGGGCAGAAGAAAGATCCTTTGTTAAATACCCTGCCTGATGCAAGCGGGTGGTGGGGGGTGCGGAAAAAGTGGTTTGTGCACGTGTATGTGCGTGTGCCTCAGTGCACGTGTACGTGTGGCTGCTGCGGTGGAAAGCTGGAGGTCCAGCAGGGCAGGCTGGGGCTTTCTGGCCTCTCTGCACAGCTCTGGGGGTGAGAAACGCTGAAATAACCAAGTGAAGTGGGGAATCTGGCCAGAAAAATTAAAATACAAGAGCATGGCTTTTGATTTGAAAGCATATCTCCTCCAATCACAGTTATCACAGGGTAACATTCTCATTTACTTTTTTTGTGTAGAGTTCATGCATGCAATTTTTAATAATAAAAATTAAAAAAAAAAAGGAAAAGAAAAAAAAAGCAAGAAAACTGTCATGTCAAAACTATGTTAAAGTAGAACTAATGCTAGAAGCACATATCAGTAATTTAGGGTAAATTATATTACAGGGATGGTGCAATTATCCCCAAACCAAACATTAGAAAGCCAAGAAATTAATCAATATTAACCGTAGAAGAGACTCAAACATGTTAAGGTATGGAAGTGAAGTGAAGGCACCAAAAACTTTAAATGACAACCAGGAAGAAAATATAGACAAGAACTTAATATGTCTTTAAAAATGACTTCAACCTAATCTGGGTTCATATGGTAGTCCCTGGCTGGTGGAAGATTTTCTGGAAGAAGTTTGGGGTTTGTTTGTTTGTTTGTTTCTTCAACTAAAAATTAGGATTCCAGCTAAATGCAATCTTGCTGTAGAAAATGTCAACTTGCCTTAAAAAAAAAAAAAAAAAAAAAAAGCAGTTGCCTTTGACCTACTTTTGATTCTTTTGGGCCAAAAACTAGGTTCTTTTTCAGCCAAGAAGCGTTTGGCTTTGGGACGGCTGATCCTTCACTGAAAAAGTGACCTTTTCCATGAACCCCCTCGGTTCTTGGCCAGCTCTGGCACCATCCCCACGGCTGCAGGGCGAGCACCGCCTCACAGCGCCAGGCCCTCGGTTGACGGTGACGTGGGATGTGTGTCATGCTGTGTCGGGGCAAGGGGGGACACATGCCTGTGGGCTGGCAGTGTGACTCTGGGGGGGCTGATGATGGCTGCAGTGGAGGGGCTAAGGGACCTGTGCACCTCGTTACGTGTCTGTACGAAATGTGCCGGCTCGGAAGGTGTCTGTGTGGTTTATGCATCTCACATGGCTTCTGTGGGGTTGCAGTATCGTGGGTGGCTGCGATGGATGGCAGTACGTCAGCTCTACGAGTGCTATTCGAGTTGCAGGAGCTGCCTATGGGGAACACATGCATCTCCTCCTGGGGCGGTGGGGATGATGTGCCGCGGAGAGGCTGTGCAGCTCGGGTGATGGTGGGCGCTAGGACGTTCAGAGTGGGATGGTAGCTTCCCAGGGCTGTCTTGGTTCCATGGTGCCAGCCTGTCTCTCTGGCACTCCTGAGGGACCATTCTGCAGGGCTGCAGAGCAGAATCCATTTTTAAAACTCCCGACAACGAAAAGGAAAGAAGCAAGGCCACCAGGTTTGCATCTTTCGCTCGCTAGCCAGGAGAGCCGGGGGGTGGCCGGGCCCTCCCGCCCCTTTGGCCTCTAAAGCCTTGCCCATCTGAGACCTGGTGTGGGCCCGCGGCTCTGCTGAGCATCATGAAACAGAGTGCCTCGCTGCTTTCTCGTCTTTACAAGGACCCCAGGCAACGTGTCCCAGCATGCTATGTACTCATGGGGCCTTCTACAGCAGGAGGGCATTGGGGTCTCTGAGCCAGGGCTGCTGCATGAAAGCGGAGGGCACCGAATGGCAGGCTGTGACATGAGCTGGTGGCAGCACCCCCCCGCCGGCCGCTCACCCCCCAGAGCAACCAACAGGTCTGCCCACGTCACGACAAAGCTCGCTCCACCACCGACCTCCTGCAAGAGCTGGACCTTGGACCTGCTAGCCTCCATCTTGGCTGCGTTGGCTTGGATGTTGGCCTCACTAGCCTAAACTAGCCTGGTTCCCTGGGGAATGTGTCCTGGGACCCCAGCCACGTCACCCCACGGCAGGCAGAAGAGTGCAACAGGCTCCCGGGCAGTGGGGTATTGTTGCCCATAGCTGCCTCGTAGACGCAGCTGCCCCCAAAACAGGGGCCATCTTCTGAGATGAGCAGGGCTATCTCCCTCCACAACTTGCCTGTGAGCAACATCCCAAGAAGAGCATGGCCAGGACCCAAAGCACGGGCAGGCCCATGCTGCGCTGGTCCCCACCGGGTGAGAGAAAGGGAGAGCATGGCTCCACCGCTCGCCCATGGGACCTCTGGTGCAGGTGGCCCCAGGACCTGGTCAGCTCAGGGCATTGGGGTGCTCCTACCCTGGGGCAGAGAACGCTGTGGAGTGGTGTGGCGTAGGGTGGATGCCACACCACAGAGCAGGATCAGGCCCAGGATGCTTCCCTGAAGAGGGAGCGATGTGGGAGGTACCAGGGGTGCCACACGCCATTGTTCCTGGGTTCTCCCCCTCTCCTGTGCCCACCGTGAGCACCAGTCCCCCCAGGTGCTCACTGCACCGTGATGCTCCTGCTCTCCCATGACAGGAACCCTTGGTTTCCTAACCATGGAGTCGTTCAAACACAACAAAACATGGAGGGTCTACTCAGGACATGCTGAGGGTCCCCCCCAGCAGATCTTTCTGCAATTTTTTCTCCCCTTTTTTTCTGTGCATCCCACCTGTCCCTCCTCCTCATTCTTCTCACCTTCTCCCCCCTGCACCACCCAGCCCACTTCTGTCCCGTCTCCCTGGGTCGGGGCTCAGGCCACCAAGACACAACCTGCAACCTTCCTGCAGAGCTGCTCAGGGGGTGCAGCAGTGGGGAGGGGGGATGCCAGACATGGGGACATCACTGGGACAAGGTGCCACCCAGGGAGCGTGGAGGCAGCGCAGGAGCTGACAGGGATGTCCGTTTTCCCCATGGGGTACAGGGTATGAGCAGGGAGAGGGTGGGTGTCCCCCCGGTGCCTGCCAGCCTCCGAGGTGATGGCAGGAGGAGCACTTTGTGTGAGATGGTGGCAGCCGAGCCCAGCGGCTCAGCTGTCCCTGGGGCCGTGTCCCAGGGGTGCTCCTGGAGCTTCTCAGGATGGAGCCTGCATTGGTGTCAAAGGCAGCCGCCTCCATTTTTCATACAGAGCCGTGGCCCCGAGACCCCTTGCGATATCGCATGCTGCTCCCCGAGGCACCCCGAGCCTGTGGCCGGGGACGGGCCACCCCGCCGTGAGGGGCCACATCTCCCCACCCTACCGCCGTCCCCCCATCCCCGCTGTGCCTCGTGCCTCGGGCAGCCTGGCGGGGAGCCCTGTTCTGAGCAACCCTGGGCAGAAACCCGCCGGTCGCCCCAGGGAGGCGATTTCGGCAAGCCCATCGCGCCGGGAGGTCGGGCGGCAAAACGCAGCGGCCGCTGCCACACGAGACAACAGAGTAGCCACAGTGCAGAGTGTCATACAACAGACGGCAACATGCAGAGGGACACCGGCTCAGTCCGACAGACCAACAGCCCAACCTGACGCTGAAGAGTGTCTGAAGCTCCAGCACGAGCAGACACGTTTGCACATTTGGAAACAGCTGGCTTTAGAGGCAGCAATTTGGAAATTTTCTCTGGTTACGTTACAGCAGTTTTACTCCAAGGCGGAAAGCACGAGTTTGAACCAAGACTGGGTCTTTAACAATCTCCTCTTTCAAGCCTTTGCATCTCTTTTCTAGAGCTGCATTACTGCTGACGATAACCAGAGACAGCTGTCACTCCTGTGCCGAGGACTACGTCCCGAATGCTAATCGTCACAAACAAAAATCACATGTAGAGAATGTGACACGCATGGCTCTCGGTGAGGTGACACGGTGCCCAAATTAAATCGGGGTGATTGTTTTTAGGCATACAATGACAAACAGGTACAGGAACACTCAGGAACAGAAAAAAAAAAAAATAAAATAAAAAATGCCATCGGTTTCAAGAGGTCAGCACCGGTAAGGTGAGCAAAGCACAGAGAGGAACATCAGAAATCATCCAGGCAAAAAGAAAACAAGAAACAAAACAAAAACTCGGTTGCATCTCCCAACTCATCACAGGACTCCAAGCCACCTCCTGCCTGCCCTCCAGGATCCCAGCATCCTTTCAGGAACACGGGATGACTGACTCACTGACTCACTGACTGACTGGTGACGAACATGAGCTATGCATGTACACTGGCAGCTTCGGGATGGGTGTGTGGCAGTCGATGGGATGGCAGAAGAGAGAAAGAGAGAGAAAAAGAGAGGGCAGAATTGTTCTTCTTCCTCTTACCGTATCCTTGGAGGACCTACGTCTCTTGAAGCTGGAGGCCAGGGTGGAGGTGATGGACCTAAAAGTGGCTTTCTTTTTAGGGTCAGGTTCTGCTCTACCACTTTTTCTATCCTAAAATGAATATGTATAAGTGATTAGATCTCTAGTGTGTTGTTGGAAACGCTAAATCTACTTGAATACTGCCCCGTGTCATGTCCTTCATTCAGGTGAGAAAGCTACTGGAGGTGTCCTGTCACTCCCAGTCCTCCAAGGGCCTCCGTGACCCATGGCTACGGCACGGCCGCCACACTGCTACAGCTACGGGGCCAGCCTCGCATCTGGAGCGATGGAAACCCCTCTGGGGAGTAGCCCTGCTCTCTTGGGTGTCTGAGGCCAGGCCGGCACAGCTGGCCTGGCTTCCTGGGGATGCTCTGCCTGGTGGCCTGCCCCTCGCTTCCACCGCTAGCCTGGCTAGACCAAGAGGTGAGATGCTGCACCTACCACTAAAAAAAAATTAAAATAATTGCTCAGGGCCTTTTCTGAGGCTGAATCCTAGTGCCACAAGAGAGAGAGAGGACTGCATTGAAAGAGAAGTCATTGTATGAATATTCTGTAAAAAAAAATGTATTCAAAAATTTAAATGACGCAGTTGTGCAAAGCTGAACGTGGTTGTTGGTGGTGGTGTTTTGGTTTGTTGTGGTTTTTTTTTCCAAAGTAAAAAAGGTTAAAAAAAAAAGAAAACTGGAAGAAAAAGAAAAAAAAAAGAAAAGAAAGGGAGGAGGCAAAGCGTTAGCGCTATGATGTCATTGGGGTCGGGATGAACTCAAAGAGAAACAGAACTGAAAAATGTAGCCATTGGTGTTAGCGAGTCGGACCTGGTTAGCGCAGGCTGGGAGCACCAGCCGCCATGGTGCGGGGGCAGCGAGCCGTGGGGACCGGCCGCGCTCTGCGGCGGGCGCTGAGAACGATTCCTCCCCAATTGCTTTCGTGCCAATGAGTGTGACCTTTCCGACGGGGGACGGAGTGACCAGGTCTGGCTCTGCTACCGCACGGGGGTAACCAAAATGTATCCCGCTGGTGCGTAGAGCATGCTCGGGGATACATTTGCTCCTCCTTCTCAGTTCTCTCTTTTGCGGACATGCACAAACGGAAAGGAAAGCAAGATGAATGGAATGAAATGTCTTTTTCTTCCATGGCATCTCAGGAAATAGCCATGGCAAAACTGTGATCCCAAAAACCATTATTTTTGTTTGTTTGTTTTAACAAATAAATCTTTCCACTTGCCTACCTTCTAGCAATGTACCAGATACTAGTGCTCTGACGTTTCCTCCTGTGGAAAAGTCTTACAATGTCAAACGGCTCTTTACCATGAGGCTGTTTACCCCCACAGGGCAGCATGCTTTGCTCACAGTCCCACAGACTCTGCCCAAGGACCCAGTGCAGTATTTTCTAGAAGGTTGGCAAGTGAAAAATGGCAGTGCGACTAGTGTGCTCTGTCCCAGCAGCCTTAACCCCCTCGGTGCTGCTGCTTTTTGGAAGCAAAGGAAAAAAAAAAAAAAGAAAAAAAGAACAAAAAAAATAGAGAAATGGCTTTTCCGAGACTCTTATCAGTGAACTGAACCCAGCGAGCTCTCAGGATACAGCAGCCCGGCCTCGTGCATCCCCTCGCTGCTCTCAGGCAGGTCGCTTCCCCCCGGGCAGCCCACCCGCACACCCCAGCCAGCACTGCTCCCGCAGGGTCACAGCTCCGGGCTTCTTTTGGGGGTCCCCCAGCCTCATTCTCTCTCTTTCATTCACTGCCTCTGCTGCAAACGGCAGTCTCCTTTAGTTGCCTAAAGGATCTCTTGCTCTTTGAATGCTGAGTTGCTTCCCCAAGGAAGAAAAGCAGCCTGGGCAATTCAGAGAGAGCATCTGGCTGCCCTAAACTGGGGCTCGGGGGCACCGTGGGGCTCAGCCCCAAAAGCAATGGGGTAAGGGAAGTGTGAGGCTGGTGGCCCACAGCTGTTCCCACGGCTCAGTGTCACTGCCAGGCACCACCGAATCTCCTGGGCTCCTCTGCCTGAGCGGCACAGAGGCGTTTCAGGGATGGGAGAAGCCGGGGAGAGCAATGGCCCCATGGAAGGGGCCCGGGGGAGCCTTGGCGCTGACAGGAAAGCTGCTGGCTCCCATGTGGGGAGATGTCCTTGTCTCCAAATGACAAGAGCACGCACCACCTCTTTTTGGAGTTGGTCCCGGGTATGACAAGGGCTACCACACCCCCGGGGAGTGGGCAGGGAGAGGGAGGCGATGGAAACCATCCCTGGAGCATTTCTCCACCTGAGCACTGGGCAGGGATGCTCAGCGGCAGCGGATTAACCCTCCCGTCTGCTGGCAAGCACGGCCGGAGCCAGGCAGCAGGGCAGAGCGCCTACAAAGGGAACTGCATCGGCACTGCTTGCTCGGCCAGGGCAAGACATGGCTCCAGCACGTGGTCCCCAGCAGAACAAAGTCCCCATCCCGAGCACTGCTGGGGTCATTTGGGCCAGGTCTCTGTCCCAGTTGGAGCTGTGCACAACATCTCCCGGGAGAGATAGCATTGGCCAGCTCCCGGGTACAAGGCAGGGACCCTAACCTACAGCTTGCTAGGTGCCCAGTAAGGCCCAGCTGGAGTTACTGGGGTGGGGGACAGAGGGCCCCATGCTAATCCACAGCTCTGCATTCACTGATTTGGTGAAGGAATGGAAAACGCACCTGTTGGAGGTTTGCTCTAAAAACGGTTTGTCCTACCTGCAGGTTTTTCCTCCACACATTAACGGCCGCAAACGCCAGCTGCATCTGCTTCCTCCGCGCGTCCTTATGCCTTTTGTAAGCTATTTCTATGAATATTAAAAATATCCCGGCAACAATACCTCCAGCCACCAGCATAAACACACCTGAAATAAGCAGGAAAGTTACAGGGGGCAATGGAAATTGTACCATGACACTTCATTTCCTCTGTATCATGCTCAGCAACAGGAGCATCTGCCAACCCAGGGTCCCCTCGGCCCCCCGCCATCCCCCCGCAGACCTGGAGGGGCCGGGGAGGGGAACCCAGCAGAGCAGGGCAGGCGCTGCAGGTTGGGCACCCGCGGTGATGGGCAGAAAGGTGATGGGGTGCCAGAAGGTGATGGGGTGCTGGATGTCCGTCGGGTGGGTACAGGGCACTGGGCACCGGCTGTGCTACAGTGATGCTGGGGGCAGGCACGGTGTGCTGGGTGCTGCACTGAGCACCAGGGCAGACCCTGTCCCCTGGGGCTGCAGGATCATTTGCACCAAAACCCCAGCTCTGGTGCTCCCGTTTGGCTCACTGGGAAGGACAGCCATGCACAGAGCTCTCTGTGCTGTCCTCGGCCTACTGCAATCCTCAGGGCTGACATTTTGGGAGTGGTGTCTTGAGGAGATGGAACAAAGTGCCCCCTCTCTCAGTGTCTGTGATGCCGGCAAGGATGGGGTACCATCGGACACCCCTCATCCCGCATCACCACGTTGGCTGGGTGAAGGACTGGCAGCATCGCATTACTGCAACGGCAGAGCCCATCTGGGGGAACTCGCAGTCTTTACAAAGGGGGACCAAGAAACCCCCCCTCTGTATCGATTATCCTCCTCCTGCCCCCTGCCCACTGCCCAGGGCCAGACGCCCCAGGGCGAGCCGGCACCCCCCCCGCAGGGCTGGGGGGCTGCCAGCTCCCTCCTGCAGCAGGGTCCTCACTCGCCTCCGTGGCCGCTCTTGCCTCCCCCGAGGTGCTGCTCCCCTCTCTCTGCCTTGGCGACAGCTCTGATTTTACTGTGACAGCCGCAGTTTGGCCAGAGCAGAGGGAGGGGAGCAATGTTCAAAGCAGGACAGCCCCACCGATGAGAAAGCCACCCCAGGGAAGGTGGGGAAAGCTTTGCGGAGCTGTTTTGGATGAGGTGGGATTGGAGCCCAACACAGCAGCCTCCCAGCGCTAGGAAAGCACAAACCCAGAAGAAGCAGAGCTTTGGCCCGAGAGGACAGCCCTGGAGAGGAGAATGTCTTGAGCGAAAGCAGGCTACCCAGCGAAGAGGAAGAAAGAGGTTTGCAAAACAAACCTGCCATATTTTCAAAGGTGAGTGTTGCTGGGGCATTGCTACGGGAATCACACTCCTGATACCTCACCCAAGTCTTGTCCAAATCCTCCATGAAGCCGTTCTCGTGGGACCTGAAAGCACAAGGAGACAGGACAGAGTAATCACTGGGGACTAGTCGCCGGCAGCTGGGGCACACGCTCTTTGTGCCTTCATGCCCTGCGTCCTAGGACTCTGCGCTTGCCTGCAGCCTGCAAATACGTGAACCGATGATGTGTGTGGTCAGTCAGCCCGGCTGACTGCGTGTGTGCAGTTTGCACAGAGAGCATGTGTGGCCCGTGTGCCCTGGCTGTCTGTACTGCACGTCTTTGCACGCTGCCCTGCACGCAGCCAGTGCTGCCACGAGCCACATGCATGGTGCAGCCGGTGCGAGCAGGCAACCATAGCTGCCTGGTGCCACTGCCCCGTGTTGGACAGCTGGAGAGCTAGCCGGCTGCTGCCAAAAAGAGCCATGTGTAAGCTTGGTTCCCAAGGAGAGGGATGGAGCTGACAGGTGTAGGCAGTGCTCAGAGAATGTGCTTGGAGAGAGGCTGCAGGGAGCTGACATGAACCACATCTCCCGGTGCCCTCCTGGATGATCCCCCCACCTGCCAGGGCCACTTGGGAGCTCAGGCAATGCTGGACCTCAATCCTGTCTGGTCATCACCAGCACCCTCTAGATCAGGGCAGGGGCAAAACTGCTGCCTGGCAGCTCCCTGCTGTGCATGGTGACGGCTGGGACTCCCCAGCAACTTGGTGTCACGGCTTGGGAGGAAACAAATCACGTTCCCGCAGTGCCCGTTTCTGCCTGAACAGCTCGTGGGGATGGAGGTGGGCACAGAGCACATGTCCCACCACAGGTCCCCCTGCGCTTTCCTCCTCCTTGTTCCTGGCACATCCCCACCACCTTCCTGGGCCACCTGTAGCCCTGGGCTTCCCCATCCTCTCCCAGGAGGACACCAAGAACTCCTGCTGCCTCTCCAGGCTTCTCACATTGTTGCCCCAAATCCTCTCTGTCCCACTGCCACCCATCCCCATAGTAAGACCACCCCACAGACAGGGTCTCATGGCTCCCTAAATTACCACGGGTCCTGCCTGTGTCTTCCACATCCTGCCCATCCTCTCTCTCAGGCCTTTCATCTCCACATCTTGGGCAGGACCCTGGTGGCTCCTGATCCTGTCTCTCCATAAAATTAATCTCACATGTCCCCCTCCCTCCACTTGTTGCTTCCCAGCTGCCTGTTACTCCGTCACCACATTTCTCTGTCTGCAACAAGTGTGGCATTGCTGAACTAATAAAAGAAAATCCCTTTTTACCCACAATATCAGATTGACTTGTGGCACCGCCCGCTGCAGGCTAATGCTGGTATAAAAGCCTTAGCTGGACTCAACTGCCATATCTCTACCTAACAGGAATAGCCAGAGTTGGAAGAAAAACCCCTGGAAGATCAAGCCAGGGCAGTGCAATGCTGTCAGCCAGGCTGAGCTCGCAGGGAGAGGCATTGGAGTGGGCTGCCCAGGGCAGTGCTGGAGTCCCCATCCCTGGAGTTGTTTAAGAAAAGACTGGACGTGGCACTCGGTGCCGTGGTCTAGCTGACATGGTGGTGTTAGGGCAAAGGTTGGACTCGATGATCCCAGAGGTCTCTTCCAACCAAATCAATTCTGTGATTCTGAGAAGTGGGGAAATGGCAGCACCCCTGCCTGCTGCTGCAGCCTGCACCCTGCTCCCAGGACCTGGTGCTGCACGGCCCCAGCGCTGCTCTCTACCAGCTTTGCCTATGCTCCTGCGACCGAGCACGGCTCCTGCGCCCTGCCCTGCTCTGCTCTGCCCTGCCCTCCCACCAGCTCCGTGACGCTTCCCCAGCCCTGTGAGTCGGAGCTGTGGCCGTGGGTGCCCACCCCAGTCACTCAGGCATGTTCCCTTCATCAGGGGTGACACGGCAGACCCCAGAGTCCCTGTCCCTGCAGAGGGTTTGGGGGGTGAGGTGGCAGTGCCTGGCACAAGGCTACTTGCGTGCTAAGACATGCAGCATTTGGGGCAAGCCCCATGCCAAGAGCTGTGTACGGACTTGAGGATGGCCAGGGAGACGTTCTGCTTCCACGGGCTGTCCTTGCGCATCCCGATCCCAAAGCCGGAGCGGAAGAAAAGTTCCCCCGTCGTCACCAGGTCACACTTCTGGGAGGCTTCGAACTCCAGCACCGCTGAGTCCCAGATGAAGGCATGGAGCTTGCTGGACACCAAGAGAGGACAGACAGGTAAGGCTGGGCAGCCCAGCTTGTCTGCAGCCACTGTGGGAGCAGCGAGGGTGCTCCCAACCCTAATTTAAGCACTGATTAGCATCACCCTCCTCCCAGAAGGGTCTGTGCCCCTGGGAGGCAAAAGTCTTGGCAAAATTTTGGAGGAGGAGTGTGAGGGGTTTACATGAGATTTGAAGTCACCCAGCCTTGCACAGAAGCAAGCGCAGAGGCCAGAAAGGGAAGCCAGGGCCAGGGCTCTGACTGTGCCTTTCCCCATGCAGACCTTGTGCTCTATATCCAGAGACCTGGTACGCACGAGGACTAGGAAGATCCCACCCAGCACCAACTGGGTAAGTCCCACCAAGCCATGGTTTGACTGCAGCTCCTTCCAGGCTTGCATCAGCCCTGCTTGCTCCATCAATCTGCAGCTCCCCAAAACTCCCCACAGCATGGCCAAGCAAGGTGCTGGCCCCACTCACTTGTCCCTCACTGCCTGGATGGCTTCGGCAGCACTCTCGTAGTTGTGCTTCTCCATATGCCGGTACATGGTGCTCAGCTCTACCTGCCGTCGGAAGTAGATGTCCACCGAGCTCTGCTTCACTGTAGCGTAGATGAACTTATCAGAGGGGTTGCGCAACTGAAAGGCAAGGGCAGAGCTCCTATTTCTTCTGTCCTTCATCGACCGAACTGGCTCACCCCAAAGCTGTGTTTCCTAATTTCGCACCTCCTCAGGGACCCGTTTCCCAGAGAAGACCTTGATCCCCTCAGCAGAGCTGAAGACGCCATGGGGCAATGGATGCCATGGGTCAGTGAATGCTCTGGGACCATGGTGGTGGGGCAGGGGATGCTATGGGACAGGGATACCGTGGCACTGAGGATGCAGGAGGACTGTGGATGCCACGGGGCTGGCAGTGCCATGGGCAGAGGACACAGAAGGGTGTGGGCTGCTGTGGGTCAGTGCTGCTGTGGGGTACATTCCTGCATGCCTGGGCTGATAAGCTGTGGCTGTGTCCTTGCCAGAGCAGGAAATGGGTTTGAGGCATGCTGGTATCTGCTGAGAGTATTGACTGCACCGCAGGGACAATTTCATTAGTTATAACTCATCCATAATGAATCGTTTCCTCGTTGGTTTGTGCAGGCTCTCCAGGAATTGGCAGGCAGTTTGGCTGGGTACGTGCTATTGCTGGACAAGTTTTTTTCCTGCTCATCCCTCGCCGTGTCTGTCCATTCCCACCCAGCGCAGGGGTTCAGACCCACCAGTGACAGCCCCAGGCAAAGCTACTTGGGGCTCAACCCCCTGGCACAGACCCACAGCCATGTTAAAGCAGGGCTCTGGGTACTACAAGCCACATTATATGAGCCAGGAGATACCCACTGGAGGCATCTCCTGCATCTCTGCTCAGAGGTGGACAGGGAAGGGGAAAGCAAGCGAGGGGTCATTACCCGGGGGTCGTTAATGCCCGTGATTCTCTCTTCAGGCCGGTCTAACACCAGGAAGGCTGCCAGGTTGGCAGTGTATGAAGCCACAATGATCATAGCAAAGCCAGCCCACACCATGCCAAGAATACGAGCAGAGAAACTCCGGGGAGCACCTGAAGGGAGAGAGGCGAGATCAGACTGGCACGACAAGGGCTTCACTTGGTCACCAAAGCCATGTCCATCCCACACGAGACCAATGGCAGCTGCAGATGTGCACCATCTATCTGCTCTGCTGACAGCTGTGCAAGGAGCTTCTGTGTTGCTCAAACCAAGAAAAACCCAGCTCCTTCCAGGGCCTGATGTACCCATCCAGTGGATGGGTAACCCTGGGCAGGAGAAGCAGCCCCAGAAAGACTCGTTTCCCAACACTGATGGTGAGGGGTGGCAGGATGGTCCGCACAAGTGCGACAAGTGTGCCACCCCCAGCACCACCAAGTTTCCTACCAGCCTGCTCCAGGGAAGGCTCAGGGAATAAGGTCCCCCCAGGGCATCAGCCCCACCACAGAGGGAAGCAGTGGAAGAGGGCACAGGCTTGTCCCCCAGCCCGGTGTCACCCCCAGCTCAGGGCCGGGGCAGCAGGGCAGAGCAGTCCCTCTGCGTGCTGTGACGCACCTTCTCCGATGCAAAAACAGCAGGACTCCCCAGGAGAACCACATGGCTGAGGAAAGGGTCAGGGCATCTTCCTCCTCCTCCTCACTGTTCACTTTGAACCGGCCAAATGGGCTGGAAAACAAGACAGAGAGTTCATATCCCTTATCCTGGCTTCCAGGGCTCTCCACTGTGCCCTAAGTGTCCTAATGCAGCCCTACATCCCTGTGCCTATGCCCCAAAGAGCTCTTCACCCCTCATGTCGCACTGCCTTGCACATCCCCTCTGCTGATCTGCAACCCTGCCCAGCTCACACCGGTACTGGTCCCATCACACTTCTCTCCAGGCCAAAAAGATCATCTGATCGTGGCCAGCTCGAGCCTCTCCTGCTGTGACACAGAGAGCTCAATGCAGATTAACCACAAAAGTTTCTGGGCACAGGGCTGAGGTGGGGACAGGTTCCCTGCCCTTCAGAGGAGCTGCTTTGGGGCCAAGGAAGGGGACTCACTCAGAGCCCAGAAGCTGATGGTGCCCTTGGTCAGGCATCAGCATTTCATGCGGTCTGGCAGGCATGTTCCCACATATCCAGGTGCTGGATACCCCACATATCCCTATCCCTCAGCTTAGCAGCAGAGAGGTCAGGAGCCTCAGTCCACGTTGGTGGAGCACAGAAGGTGGGTTTAGCTCCTGTGAGAGCCTCCTGAAGGGCTGCAGGGCTGTGTCTGAGCAAGACACTGCGGGGACCCAGGGGATGGTTCCCAGGAGCACCTCTCTGTCCCCTCTGGCCCTTGGGTGACCCAAAGCACACTCACCTGAATCGGTCTAAGAGGTACAACATCACTGCCACCACGTGTACAGACAGCCCCACCAGCAGCCAAAGCGTGCTCTGGAAAGGCTGCATGAATGAGTCCAAGGTGCTGCGGGGGATTTCCTAGCACACGGGAGAGAGGTGAACACTGTTGGCACCCATCTTGCCTGCACCTTGCCCGCCTGCCTGGACTCACAAGGGCCCCTGCCCTGCTCCGAGCCCCTGCTCTGCTACATAGGAAGCCTCAGGGTGGCTGAGACAAGACCCAGCATTAAAACCAGCAACCTGGAGGCTGGCATCCCACAGCAAAGGCTGGGGGTTGCAGTAGCTGCTCTGGGGTGGGCAGGGAGCAGTAGGTGGGGGAGCGGGGCATGAGGCAGGCATGGCATGGGTCTGCAAGCTAGGGAGCAAGGGACACCTCCCCTGTTCTACAAAACAGCCCAGCCCAGCCCAGCCCATACCTTCTTCACAAGGATGGTGAGGCCCTGGTACTTGAAGGGCTTGGAGAACTCAATGTACTGTGCCCGCTCGTTGTTGATGGTGAGGGGAGCCACGATCATGTCTGCTTGGCCGCTTAGCAGCTCCCCCATCATCCCGTTCCACTCCTTCTTATTGCTGTTGTTGACCTGCCAGAGAGTCAGCGCAGGATCAGACCACGGCCCTGACACCTGTCCCCCGCCAACCAGGACCCTCACACATATGGCAGGCACCCTGCTCTGCCCTCCTGAGAAGGGACCTGGGGGTGTTTCAACACAAGATACAGGCAAAGAGCTATCACAGGTTGCTCAAACTCACCCGTTCTTGGGTACCAAATTTTCCATCAGCCACCAGGTGAACCTCGTAGGTGAAGTTCATCACCCCTGCCAGCCGGATGAGCAGGTCGATGCAGAAGCCGTAGCAGCACAGTGCTACGGTGGGGCGGCCTGCGGGTGGGAGAAAATGGGGGAGATGAGTGGAGGCAGCCTTTGCCAGAGAACCCATGCAGGATCCATGGCTGTCCCCAGCGAGAGCAGCCACCTGCATGGCTCTGGTTTCATACGAGATGTAAGCACGTTATTCAGGCAGGGCTGTCCACCTTGAGCACCCTCTCCCAACTCCTCCATCGCCTATGGGTGCTGGCAAGCTGGGGGCAAAGAGATTTCATTCATTTGCTATGTCCCAGTGAGGCGGGCTGAGAGTTGGTGCTACCAACCCACGGCAGGGAACGGAGAGGGCTTGGTGCATGCGGGCTGTGCTGGAGGAGTGTTAACATGAACCCATCGGGTTGAACACAGCCCAGGACACAACTCGAGGCTGGGGGGGCAGAAGCTGTGCCCAGGAAAGTGTGATGGGCCAAGGGGAATGCACCTCAGGTGGATCTGGGCAAGCCTGGCATTGCTAGGCAGCTTGCACTCTCCGCCAGGTGCTCACACCTAATCCTGAAACAGGCTTTCCGTAACAAAATGGGTTGAAACTGGTGTTGTTAGTACCAGTGCAGGAGGTGCTAACGTGCCTTGGCATTCTTGCTTCTGCTTGAGATGAAGGCAAAGAGAATTGGAGCATGTCAGGAGACAGAAACATGGGATGTAATCCCCCAAAAGAGCCCTGGAGCCCACGCAGAAGAGAGACAGCGGGAAAGTCATCTGTTGGGGACAAAAACCTGAATCCCAGTGCCCAGTTACTGCACAGCACTACAGCGGGGCTGAGCTGACCAGGGGCATTTGGGGGCTGTATGTGCGGTCACCTTTCTGTTCCTCATCCTCTGGGCCTCCTGTGTGACTGAGCACTCTCCCTAGGGACCCCTTCTTGGGACAGGAGTCTTCATCAGTTGGGTGGGCTGGGGGATCCACTGTGCTCACCACCAGACTGAGTTACCTGGGATGGTCTCGTTGGGTCCAGTGCAAAAGACCTTTTTAACAGGATCTCCATTGATGGTGAATTCCTCCCTGCACGTCCCGTCTGCTTGCGTGGGTTTCACATACACAAAGGGCTCTTGGTGGATTGTCACGATCTACAAGGCGAAGCACAAACACCCACTTGTCTCTGTTTCCCTCCAGAGCGATGTTCCCCTGGGTGGGGAGCTGGGCTGCCCTCTCCACACAAGCATGGCCAAAATGTCGTGGTGCCCATCTCAGCTGCCATCTCAGCACATGAGACCACTCAGCCCAGCACCTGGTTGGGCTTTGGCACAGGACCAAAGCGAAGGACCTGGCTTTGGCACAAGGGAACATTTGCCTTCCCTGCACCCAAGATGAGGAACAGCCATATCAGCATCCTCCTTCCCGTGGCACTTTCACCTCAGCCTCAAAGCCTTTCACACCCCTCTCCCTTAACAGGAGGTTGATGAGAGCCACCGCATAGCCAGGATTAGTGCCCTGAACAGTGCTCTAGACACTGTCACACTGCTCCAAGCTAATGCAGGTATTTCAGTCCTGCCCCGACCTTTTCAGTAAAGCATTTGCACCACCTCTACAGGAATAAGGGCTCACTGCCAGTGGGAATGTGTGATTTCCCCTGCCTGGACAGCGGGACAGATGAATGGTCCTACTGGTATGACCAGTCTGCCCAGGATCCAGTCACTAAAGTGGCTGCTGGGCTACACTTAAGGGAAGGGCATGAGAAGCAAAGCAAGAGTGGAGGGACCTTCTCCCACTGTCACCTCCAGCTTCTGGCCATCAGCTGGCTCCCAAGCCATGATGAATGGTGAACACCTTATCCCTCCATCCCTTCTCTGCTGTTCTCTCTCATATCCCCTTTTCAGCTGTCTCTTCCCAACGCAAAGGATGCCTGCCACCCTATCTAGTTTGTCCCCAGCTGGAGTTTGTGCTCTAGCTCTGAACACCCTCCAGTACATTCTCTAAGTTGTTCTGCTATATCCTCTCCGAGATTGCAGATGCCTTGGGTTTGCAAATGCTGCCGACAGCTGCAGAGGCAGCAGTGGAAGTGGGAGGCAGATAAAGTCACAGCCCTGCATGCAGAGAGCTGAGGAGACCTGCCACCACCTAATGCTATTTGCTCTTACCTTCAACTTGGTCGACATCTGATAGCCTTGAGGTTTCTCAGTTTCTCCCCCTGGCCAGATAATCTTCCGGTCGTTGGTCAAGACCTGTGATCAGTCCCAGAGCAAGGAGATAGAGGAAGGAGATGAGGCCATAGGTAGACACCCCAGTGCACACACCCCCCTCCTACCCAACCTGTCCAGGGCTGTACATACATGGCTGCCATTGTAAATCCCAACTTGGACCAGTTTCCGATTCTGCAGGTTCATGATGCTGTAGTTTGCAAACTTCCTGTCCCCGTCCTCGTTGAACTCCACCCGCCCAGTGACACCCTCCGAGTACTTGGAGGACATCAACACCCTATGGAGAGAAACACAGCGTGGCCAACCTAGAAAACCTGCTGTGGCCATTGGGACACCTAAGAAGGTGTCAGAAAGCCAAATGCTATCTCTCAGTTGCCTGCCATATGCCTACTACCCTATAGAAGTCCAGTCAAGGCTACCTGTGGTGTGTTCATAGGCCTGTGGACATCCCCTCCTAGCGGATGGAGCCAGTTTCCCCAGTGTTGCACTACCATACCTGTTGTCATTGCCCTTTGTTTTCCACCAGATCAGTCCCATTTCCTCAAGGAACGATCTGTCCTACGGCACCCAAGGACACCTTCCTCCTTCCTCTGAGGGTCCCGTGGGAGCTGTGTCCATGTCTCCATTCCTGGTGCTTCTGTTTGGCATCATCCCATCACAGCCTGGGTGGTGCCCAATAACATGCATACAGCACCAAGGGGAGGGAGAACCAGCCCCCCTAAACTCTGGAAAGAGGATAGTGAAGACACAGAAGAATTGCCTGAGCCACTTGCAGTGCACCATAGAGAACAACTTTGAATAGCTCATGCCAAAGATTGTGTCACTGCAGAGGATGCCAGAAATTTTTCTAAAATAATCTTCAGGCTTTGCAGGTCCTGTGCTCAACAGAACCCAGAGCTACAGAAAGGGCATCCCACAGACACCACGACCATGTCTGCAGAGAGCAAACCCTGGCACAAGATCCCACTGCCAAAAGCAACACCCTGGAGCCAGTTTGCACACTGCAGAGAGCAGCCCTCCCACTCAGGGACCCGGCTGCGAAGGGAATTGCTGCTTTACGAAGATCCAGCCTGCAGAAGAGACCTTTGTGGCTCCAGCATCTGCAGTGATGCAGCACAAAACCCCATGAAACACAAAGACTGGGTTCTGGGAAGCGCATGCAGCATCTGCCGATCACACTGCCCACGGCAGCAAGATCCAACACGCGCATGCTCTGATCTGCTGAGACCCCACCACCCAAAAACACAGGACCAGAGAGACACAGCAGAGAGCAGCCTGTCCCATGCATGGAGATCTCTTGCCCCCAAGTCCTGCTTGCAGCACGCTGACCCATGCCGCAGCCCTGAAATGTTCAGCCAGAAATGTGTCCGCAGCACTGAGCTCCAATTTGACAGAAATATCCCCCTACCCTGATTTGGAAGAAACCCCCTTTTCTCCCCTCTTCCACCCACAGAATTAAGATCCAGACTGGAGGAGATGATGCCCCCTAGATCTCTTCCTCCTAGAGTTGTTCCCTGCCCACACTGCTCCCAGCTGCCCAAGCGTTGCCCAGGAGAGCATGGGTTGGTGTGTACCGAATTGGTGCCAGGCACCAAGATGACGTCTGAACAGCCTGGACAAACTGGGGGCCAGTGCCTGAGCCCGTGTCCTGGCTAGTTTTCTAAGAGAGATGTAGCCCTTGCATCCAAATCATGCAGGAGAGTCCAAGCAGTCCTGTGCTACATGCCCCAAAGCTTTAGTGACAGCTACTCCGAACAAAACTACCGTGTTGCCCTCCTGCATCTTTTCCACATGCTCCCACCTTTTCCAGTTCTCCCCCAGCAGGTCCTCTGCTCCCTCCAGCAGGACCCTTTCCCAAATACCTCTTGAAAAGGGGTCCTGTCTTCCAGATGTTGGTGTTGCCCACACAGCCCCGCGGCGGGTCTGTGATATTCTCCTTCTCAAACAAGTCGTGCACGGCCTGGGCCACCACCGCAACAGCATCACTGATGTGGGCTGACTCATTCTTCCCGTTGATGAGCTGCAAACCAATCACTCCTGCCGCGAGTAGAGGGAAGGAGGTAGGTCAACATCCTTGGTTACACTGGACGTTCCAGCGTTACTCCCATGCACAGGGTTTGGGGACCAGCAAGCACATGGTTATGGGCTGAGGACCCCTCGGATGGAGCTGGGGAGTTGCCTGAACTTCAGGCAGGGGCAGGCAGGGGAAGCAGCTGCAGTGGCACTGGGCTGGCACCATCCTGTCTGTGGGAGGGGAACTGGGGACAGCTACATGGACCGCTGACACCCTGTGCTCCATCCCCATTGCATTGCCCAAGCCTTTCCCCCAGGTGATGGTCAGCTTGCAAAGCCCCAGTGAGCTGGATTTGGGGCATGGCAGCATGGCCAAGGCTGCTGAACTGCTGTCTCCCTATGCAGGCAAAGGGAGTGGAGAGCAATGTGTGGGACCCTCCACTCGCTTGGGATCACCATGGCATCACGTTCCCCCAGCCCAAGGGGTGCCCGGGAGGGCAGGTGCCACTCGTCCCAACTCCGAGCAGGCTCCTCCAAGCCTGGCTGACAGCAGGATGACTGCCTCCGGCGGGTGCCTACCATCAGGGGCATAACGCAGGGCATTGCCCGATATCTCCCGTTCCCCCACCAGCCACACGTAGCCGGAGCCCGTCATATTGAGCATGGCTGCTGATCTGTACACCGTGGCCGCATCATCCTCACTGCAACGAGAAGAAGGGAAGGGCAATGTGGCTCCAGGTGCCGGATGGTCCCTTTTCTCCTGTATCACATCCCAAGGGGGTGGCAGCACCAGGGAAAACACATGCCCAGGCAGCCCTCCTCTGATAACAGGTTCTCCTGGGCAACGGGTAATTCCTGGACTCAATGGGAACCTTTCTCTCAGCTTCACCTAATCGCACAGCACCCAGCCCTGCTGAGCATCTGCAAACCTGGCCCATTCCTTACTGCTCACGATCTATAGGCATGGGGGCAATAAGACTCCCCTCCTTCACAGGTGGATCAGGATACATCATCAGTAACTATTGCTGCTTCTGCAGCTGCTAACGCTTCCCAGGACAGCCAGACATCTCAACTGTGCTCATGATTGCAAGCTCCCTGGTCAGCAGCACGCACAGCACAGCATCCACCACCAGCCTGGTACATGGGGCTTTATGTGGGTTTCCTCTCACACTCCTTGAAAGGACGACAAGCCCCAAATCTGCACCGACTCCAGTGCTGGGCAGCATTGCAAAGGGGAGAGTGAAGAAATCAGAGCAGGGAGGGGAAGGGATGGCTCTGCCTTACCTGGCAGAAAGGATGATGACGCGAGCCTCCAGCTCCTTAGCCTCCAGCAGCAGCGATGTCACGTTTTTGGTTCCAGGGTCAAACTGAAGCACTTTCTCAGCCTGTGATTAGTGTGAGCAAAGCTGGTTAGTGTGGGAGCCCCAGGACTGCTGGTGAGAGCCATGCTATCTAGAAAAGGGTCAAGAGAATTCATTAAACTGCACAAAAGTCTGCTAAATAAGTTTGGTTACAGCTATTTTTTCTTTTTTTCTTTTCTTTTCTTTCTTTTCTTTCTTTCCTTCCTTCCTTTCTCTGTTAAGGTTTTGGTTTTTTGGCCTTTTTTTTTTTTTTTTTTTTTTTTTTTTTTGCACTGTGCATGCAAACTGAAGTCAATCAAGACCCAAAAAGAGGCGTGCATTGTACAGGAAAGAGAAAAAGGCTTTGAAATGCAATTGAAAACTCAAACGAGTGTTGTTTTTCAAAAACATGGGAAATGAAAAAAAACATATTGCACAGGGTTAACCTTTGGGAGTAAAAGTGAACAACTTACACCAAGGAATCGTTTCCTTTGGGGAGGAAAGGGGGTTGGTTCAACTTTTCAAAAAAAAAAACAAAAACAAAAACTTGCAAGTTAATTACTGGTTCACATGCATGTTTCAAAAAGAAATCCTTCCAGGGTCAGCTGGCTAGGTTTCCATTCTCAAGTCCAAACCAAACTATCTCAACATAAAAACGTGCTACCAAGAAACATAGTCATGGATCTTTTTTTTTCTTTCTTTTCTTTTCTTTTTTTCTCTTTCTCTTTTTTTTTTTTTTCTTTTTTATTTTTCTGGTGGCTGTGGCTACTTTTCATTTGCTAGTTAGGTTGGTGGGCGGCGTGCATTTCCATGCATATATACCTTGGGTCCTCGCTTGTTGTCATAGGAAAGTTGGTCGAGGTTTTCATAGTTCCTTTTTTTACTCTGATGAATAATGTGCACAGAGAAAATATGTAGACACAGAAGAATATTATAAACAGTTGAAAATGACGTGTAGTAAAGCAATCCAACATCCACCTCCTCCTCCACTGTTTGCTAAAGGGTCTCTATAACGCTGGAGCTCGCAAAAACCACTATCAGGAGAGAGTGCCTCAGCTCTCACGGGAGCGTCACGGTGCAAAGCCGTACCGGTTAGAGCAAGCCTGAGTGTCACAGCTGTTGCGATGCAGTTGCATTTCCCTTGTGGGACTGGGGAATTCTTCAGCAAGAAAATTTTGTCTTAAACTCAGAAACAATCTATGCATCTCTAAGGGCCTAAGTGGTGCGATTTCCATGGAATTACTGTGGAAGTAAAGGACAAAATGTTGTGTACGGAAAGTGCTGGATAAACGCAAACTGCTACAGTTAAGAGTATGAGCATTACTACCGTCACTATTATCATTACAATCCTGTTCACCCTAAGAGAGTTCACAGCAAGTGAGGTGTCTCAGCTGAACTTCTCACCCCCTGCAAGGAGGGAGCAGCTTTTTGGAGCTCTGTTGCCATCCAAAAGAGAAAGAAAAAGCTCTCTACGTCCCATGTTGGCTCAAAGCGTGGCGATATGAAGCAATGGTGATCATGGGATGACATTGCAGCTTTTACCTGGTGCTTGGGGAGAACCAAGGGCACCTTGTGGCTCTGCAGCACACGGGTGGCCCTGGGAGGTGCAGCTGCCGGAGACCACGGTGCCCATAACCTGGCCCTACACGTGGCTAGTGGGGTTCACTGCCTGGTGGTCTCCATGCTGCTGGCCGGAGCATCACACCTGAACTAGGGGCAGGTGGCTCAGCGTGCATTGACCCTGCAGATAACAGACTGGAGCAGAGAGCCTGCTCCTCCCCTTGTCTCCTGCCTGAGCCACTATCAGCTGCTTGGCCCCAAAGGAGCCAGGGACATGAAACCTACTCTTGGAGATTTCCTCTCCTCCAGGCAGCATGCTGAGGGTCAACAGCCTCTGCTCTCAGGAGCCTTGACCCTGCAGCAGCGTGCACAGAGCCCCGTGGGTCTTCCTGGGAGCAGCCCCTGTGGTCAGGCCAATAACATCAACCTGATAGTGCCTGCAGGATAGTGCTTGGCAGGTGTTGGTGGGACATGGTCTGACCTCTTCTGCTTGGCCCCATCCCACCCCAGCTGGGCATCCCTGATCTGTGTGTATGGGGTATGGGACACGGCTCTATTCCAATCTCCATTTTGCAGCATCTTACGGCAATGGCAACTGATCCTTGCCAAGAAGCCGACCCTTTGCACCCCCGTAATGCAAGGGTTCGTGTTCCAGGTTGTTCCTTAGGCAGCCAGGTTTTATCTCTGCATCTTGCTTTCCAAACTAAATAGCTTGCCTCTTCCTGAGCACTCAGACCAGTCTTTGGAAGGGCATTTTGCCGGGTTTCCTGTCTGTGCAGCTGTGTGATCTCGCCTTTCTTCTCCTTGGACACAGCCCAACAGGTTTTTCATTGCTTGAAGAAGTTGGGTCCTTGCAAGGAAAAGTATCTGAGGAGGCAAAATCTGCTTGGAGCCCAGGTCTGCCTTCACCTCTTATGATGTCCACAGAGAAGATTTCTGCAATGGCTTCTTAGAGTCTGCTCAGATCACAGTGAGACCTGGAGTAACAACTGCCTCCAAGGAGAGCAGAACGTCAGCAGGACAGCATGAATATTCTCCAGTGATGAGATATTGGCCACTTTTCCTCAGGAACCATCAGTTTAGCCAGAAACTTGGTCATCCATCTTGCCGCCTCCAGCCACAAATTGCTTTGTGTGCCCAGGATGTGCTGGCACCTCGACCCAAGCTTGTCAGCAAAGTGAAGCAGAGCCTTGGGTGCAGCAAAGCTGGACCTGATGGGACCTGATCACCTCCGCCTCTCCCTGTCACTATCCTATTACCAGAATTAGACCAGTAATGTCTCTTCTCTTTCTCATTTTTTCCGTGTGGCCCTGCAGGCCTTCCCTGCTCCTCAGCCCACGTTTCATACAGGGACCCAGAAATTCAAAATTCACTTTCCACCGTGTTCTCCACCATTCATTCAAAGAATCAGTGCTTTCGTGAACACCACTGTCCCAGAGAAAGGGAGCCAGCACACCAGGGACCTGCCACCTCTGACTTGGACAAACTCTGATTTTCATAGCATCTGGTACTCCCTCCTGAACCCGAGCAGCATTGGTGCAGTGGTGGCCTGCCCAGAAGGATGAGCAGAGTTGTACTGGGATGAAGCAGTAGCTCCAGGCTGAGAGTTACTGCAGACAGACCTAAGACAAGGCTAGCACATGGGGTACACCAGGGCTGGCCAGCCTGGTCTGAGTGCTGGGCTCCAAACACCTGCTTGAAGTGCAAATCCGCGCAATGGTGCCCGAGTGACAACCAGGGCCAGCGCAGACTCCAGGGGACAAGCCATGCTCGGATCGAAGAGCTCAGGTGGGCAGGTGAGCCTCTGTCCTATAGAAGATCCCCCAGCTCCTCAGGGGCTGTGATCCAAGCCTTGAAGAGGTTAAAAGCAGGTCTCCTGCCTGTTCACTCCCCAAGGCCCCAGATGCCCTTGGGGAGGTTGGGGAGGAGTCCAGGATACCACTTCATGGCATGAAGAGAGTCAGCATGTCAATGATTAGAAGAGCAATTAGACAGCAGAAGAGATTGAGGAAGACAGGAAAATGCCAACAGGTATCTACCACCTTCCAGACCATTCAGACCAGTCAGTTTGACCAGAGCAAGCTCCTCAATAGGAGGATGATGTGGTGGCACTCCTCAAACGGAAGACAAGATGACCTACCATCACAGAGCACATGCCCCAGGCTGGACGATAGCCAGGGCACTCGCAGTAGCCCTGTGGCTGCTAGGAGACACCAAGAAATGTTGTAGATGCAGTGCAAATGTAGGGCAGGTCTGAGGACAGACACTCTCTCCCCCATCTTTCAAGCGCCTGATCTCAAAGGCTTTCCTGTAGGATGGACAGGCTGAAGAAGAAATAGACCCTGTGCCTGGAGCATTGCATGGAGCAAGCAGGGAGTGGAGGCATGAGAGGGAGCAGCAAAAGGGGATGCACGGGAGCCGCAGGAAAACAGAAAGTGGAAATCAAAAGATGTAAGGAAAGGGATGACAGACTGACAGCGGGAATGAACTTTCCATAGCTCTCCCTGAGTGAGGGACACTGTGCTGGGAAGAGGCTTTGGAGAGAAATACTGGCCCGCTGTCACCCAGCGGGAAGCTGCCTTTAGAGGCAGGAGGATCCCACCATGGTTGGTGGCACGCCAGCGTCTCACGACAGCCCAGGATGCAGCAAGGATGAAACTTCTTGGAAACCACCACCAAAACCAAAAGCCTGTTGGTCAGTGTGTCTGTGCCAGCCCGCAACCCTGCACCAGTTGTTCCTCCAGTGGCTTGATGAGAGGTGACGAAGGGCAGCGGCAGGCTGCCCACTCTGGTCTCTCCACTCAGCTGCCAACTCCAAGCACAAGAATTGTCTATGGCCACATCTCCTCAACAGCCTACCACCAAATGTCCAGCAGCTGCTGGTGGGGCTGGAGAAGAGCAGGTTATGGTCCCTGCCTGTGACCCAGGAAGGTACAGCCAGGAACAGGTGCCTGCCTTGACACTGCCGGAGACTTGGAGATGGGCTCGGACTCTGCCCACCCAAAAGGGACTTCACGTTGCCCTGGGCAAGAGGACATGCTGGGACTTCACCCCGTAGGGCAGGAGGTGGTTCCTTGCCTTCCAGACAGGCGCCCGCCTTTCAAGCACTGCAGCCAAATGGCTCCCTGCGTTCTCCTTCCCTGCTCGTCTTGAACACTCCCTCGGTCCTTTTAGTCAATGGCAGCAGGTCTATGGTAGTCCTCCTGAATTTCTAGCAGGCTCGGGGACCTCCCCTGCCTCCCTCCCTGCTCCCCAGCATGGCCCTGAGCGCAGGTGCAGTGCACCTCCTCGATAAAGCTGCTCCCGCCAGCCGCAACCGCCCTCTTGTAACAGCATGGGGTGTCAGGAAAGCAGCGTTTGGCATGTGCTTCAATGGAGATGGGAACGGGGGGTGGGGGGTCAGCCTGCAGCCGCAGGGCTGACAGCTTTATAGAGAGGGTGCATTATACCTCCGGGCACCAATGCGCCGGCTGCCCTTGCCCCTCCTAAGGCACTAAGGTGAGCTCCGGTTAGCCAATTCAGAAGCTGCTTTTTGGGGTTGGTTTGGCACTGCTGGGTCTGCCTGGCCCCTGGGTGGCTGTAATGGGGCAGGTGCTTCCCTAAGCTGAGCGACTGGTCCTCTCCTTAGGTGGGAATCTTGGGCGAGGCATTTGCAGAGCTCCAGGTTATCCTTCCCTTCATTTTGTAGTCGATTTACATGTAGGAGATTTTGACCATGGCAAAGCAAGTGAAATGAATAAAGTACAAAGTTCTGTCAGGTACTAGTCAGACACTGTTGATGCTTTAAGCATGTTAGCCATGTTACAATGGAAAGAAAAGGTGTTTTACATACAGAAATCTACATACATACAACAGCCCGAGACTTCTAGTTTTGTTGTTGCTTAAACAAAGCTACAAGACAATGTTCAGGAACTGACCTTGGACTCTTTCTCCTCCAAGAGGGTCTCCAGCTTCTTTTGTGCAGCACGACCTTCGTGGTCGTCACTGACTATCAGAATGACGTGATTCCAGTTGAAGACTCTCATCATCTCAAACCAGACGTTGGCCTGGTGAGAGTATGGTGGGACCGTGCGCAAAAAGGACAGGTGGATGCTCTGCAAGGAAGAAGAAGAGCTCAGCATAGACTGGTTGGGTTGTCAGTCAGGGTGCCTCTCGGGGACCGGGCCGGTTTGCAGGGACAGGGCTGGGATCACAAGGCCAAAGAGGCAGAGCAGCAATTTTTGGTAGACCTCTAGGTTGGATGCCTTGAGCTAGCCTCTGGGACCTGCACTCCTTTCTTCTGCCTGAGAAGCAAACCCTGGCTACGATTTTGTACCTGTTTGTGGTTATCCCAGCGCCTGGCGAAGAGGTTTTCTTTTGCTTTGTGGTCTGTAAATGCACAGTGAAGAAAAACCTATCCAGCAACAAACTGTCAGCAACATTCAGTGCAAATAGAGCTTTTCCGCTTGACTTTTGACAATATTACTGAGCAATGGACATCAAAAAGAAAACTAATTCCCTTCAAAGAGTGACAAGGAGCAGTTGGAGGTACCCACAGGTATATATTAGTTATTGGTCATGACAGAAGTTCAGAAAAGCAGTTTTATAATACGCTGTTTGGTTGTTTCTAGGTCAGCTTGTTCTGCAGCAGCACACAGGAGGAGCCAGCTCTGGACTCATGCCCCAGCTAACCTATCTGATTTGGTTAAAGACATCATTATGGTTGGATGATTGAGCAATAGCAATTCCAGCCTAATTAAGTACAGCACTCTTAGGGGAGCAATTGGACCAAAAGCTGTAGCTGACAGAGAGGTTTCAAAAAAGGCAACTTTTCCAAAAGGCCCTAGAGTCAAATATTAGAAAATGAAAGTGCTTATGCTCAGCATGGATGTTATTTGACAAACCAGCTACATGTTGGAGGAAGGCAGAAGTCTGAACAGGAGAGGATAAAAAGGAAAGCACCATAATATTTCTTTTTTTAAGGTTGAGATGGTCCCCTGGACCAAACAGGGCTTGTTGAGATCTGCTCATCGAGAGACCGGACCCACTATGGGTCAGAAATGTCCTGAATGGGCCAAAGTAATTCATGCTGGAAGGGAAAAGGCGTCATGTCCACCATGGACCCGTGCAGGAGAAACAGGCAGAGTGGATAATCCCTTTTCCTCACACTCAACACGGTGATAAAATCAAACCGAACCATGCAACGTCCAGAAGATAGTGCAAAACCCCTGCCATGGTCAGGTCTCTCTGCACTGGGACCGCGGATCCATTCTGCTGCCCTGGCCCAAAACACAGAAATGATGGAGGCAGCAGCAAAAATACCAAAGCACTGGAAACGTTTCCTAATTACTGAAGAGACTGAGAAGAACTGTGGATGTCTAATCAAAGGAGGAAATGAACCAGGAGAGCCGTAACAAGCGTCTCAGAGCTGCAGTTTTGTGTGACTGATACGAACATTCCCAATTACACAAAGAGCAGGAGAAATTCAGCTCACCCCACGAGCCCAGTACTAATCAATGGGATTGGGAAGAAGCCCCACAGGGACAAGCAATGGAAGGACAACCATGGTCTCCACACCAACACGGTGCTCAAGCTCTCTTTGGAGTCAACAGACATGTCCAGGTATTTCCAGGTCCAGCTTCACGGCTTGGGCCAGAGGCACACAAGATAGGTCTGAGCATTTTTAATTTTTAGTTTTTAATCCCTGAGCATTTTTAATTGGTTTAAGGAAATCCAGGGAAAATGAAAATGGAAATGGAAAAAAATCTGAAAAGAGGAAAGAAATGGGAATCGCTGACAGCAATCCCGAGCCGAGCAGCAGCTTTCTGCAGTATCTTCCTATATCCCACCAAAAGCTGAGTGCTCAGCCCTTACGCTTCCTCACTTAATTCTATTTCTGCAAAATGTAAGTAAATAAATGTTTGGATGGAATCCAGGCTTCCAAGTGGGATCAGCTCAGCAGAAACCCAAGGGGCTGGAGCCTAAATGCACGGGGAGGGAGAGTAGTTACGAGGTTGGGGACATGTGCTGGGTCAGGACTTTTAGGAACTGCAAATTATCAGTGGTACTGACTGGGTTGATACGACTACATATGAAGAGGAGCTGAGTGTGAGCAGATCGTGTGTGTGTGTGTTTATGCGTGTGTGAAGGTAAGGACTTTGTACACATAAATGTGAGCATATACACGCAGAAAGCATGTACGTGCATGTACCCATGCAGGGAACGTGCTTGGGTGCTTGAATAGCTGCTCGTGGCCATGCCATGCCTGGGGGAGGGTGCAGTGGGTGCCTATTGATGGAGTTTGTGTACGTAGGGGATGGCCACATGTACAGGGAGCATGTAGGCATGGCTGTGGGGCCACCAGGCAGTGCGTGTGTGTTCCCAGAAGGACCAGGTACCGGTCCATGAGTGAAAGGATTGCTGTCTTCTTTACCTCTGTCTGCCTAAGGGCTCATCACAGCTCATGGTCCATGGCTGGTAGAGTAATTTTTCCTACAGGCTTGAGGAAACGATGTGCTTTTGTTTCATTACCTATGGAAATCATGTGCTCAGTCCCCCTTCTAGCAATGCACTCCAAAACTGAGCTGTCTGGGCAGTTGCAAGGAGATTAACAGCAATCCCAATACATAAAGTTCCTGATAATTTAGCAAAAATCATCAGCTGAGTATGAAAAAGAAGCCTTGGCCAGTGTCTCCATGGAAGGAGCCTGGGCTGCTCTCTCCCCTGCTCTGTTCAGCCTGCCCGCCAGCCAGCACCCGTGTCCCTGAGCCCCACCAGAGCGGAGCCTGCCCACTGCCCCGCGTGATAGCTGCAGACATGGGAGGGAGCTGAGATAACTCTGCGAGAGCTTAGATGTGTGCTGGGAGGGATTTTAGTGAGGGCAGATGTGTGGGGAGCAGTGCATGGAGGAAAGGACTTGTCAGCCTTCGGGGGAACGGCTCAGCACCGCAGCAGCAGCCTTGTGGAGTGGTGAGGCTGCTCTGTCCTCCTCCCAGCTTGAATGGGGAGAGCCTGCAAAGAGCTCTCCTCCGTTGGGATGAGTGGGCTCCATCACTGTCACCAGCACAGGCTTCAGGGCACAGAGCCCCTCATCCGCCCTGAGGTACCGCCGGCCGCCCCTGCTGACAGCTGCGCTGCTCACCCGCAGCTGTGAAACCCATTCCCGGGGCAAACGTCTCCACGTTACGTTAACCAGCCTCTCCAGTCGCTTCTTGCCGGTGCCAGTGAAGAAGTCCTGATCCTGACCTCGGTTGAGGGGAATCACTTTTCTCCCCATTTTCAGTGCAGCTTCCCACGCTAACACCATTTCTGCTGAGCATCGGTTGCCAGTGAGACCAGTAATAAAGAAAAATACCCTTCTCAGTGAGCAGTAACCCCCGGGGCACAGAGTGGTTATACCGAGACAAGGAACCAGAGGGAAAAGCCATCCCCAGGCTCAGATTAGAAAGAGAGAAAGAGAGAGATGGATCTCATTGCTGGACATGGAAATGGCTCTCCAGGTGCAGAATGACTAAACTCCATTTTCCATCTCTTTCAGCAGCAGGGCAGGTCTCACTTAAGAGCCACCCTTGATCCTCTGCCTCTCAGATGGGGGGATGGTGCGGGGCTCAGCACCTCGGGGCACCCAGCATGTCCCTTCATCCCCATCACATAGGTGTGGTCCCACATAGTGGCGACGAATGGCACCAGACCTTCCCAGATCTCCAGCTGTGCATTTCCCCACGAGCTCTCCTCTCACACTCTCAGTGTCATTTCATATTTCTCATATTGTCAAGATGTCAATGTCATCTCATTTTTTCCGCTGAGACATGAAGGAGATACAAATACCCCCAAGGACATATGGGGAACAGAAGCACTAAAGCAATACTCCAGCCTGTCCATCCAGGGGGCCCAGTATGAGAAGATCAGAGCGCGATTTTTGCAATGCTCAGTCCATGAAGGGCTCTCCATAGTGATGGACAACACCACAGTGATGGGGACCACTCTGCTGCCTTTACTGTGAGATCCCCCCCTCACTCAGAGGGATTTCGGAGATCTCCTCACCATAGAGGCAGGACTATGCTGAATGGCGTGAGGATCTCGGTGAAGAAACAGGTAATGATTTCATAAGATGTACGCACAAGGAGGCCAAATAAAGGCTGCCAAGCCAAAGTGCTCAGCTTGCTAGCTGCAATACCATTTCTAGAACAACTAGCTTTTTGAATACTGGGAGCAATAAAGCTTACTTCCCTCGGGTATCTTTGTTGAAAGACTGGCTACAGCTTGTGGAGCACTGTGATCAACTGGAGATACTCCAAGAGCATCAAAAGGTACTGGGCGAACCTGCCTGTGCTGGGGCCCACGCCTTTCCTCTCCCTGACAGCTTAGCCTTGGGAAGACCATAATTAACTCTGAGACTTCAACCCCCTGTGAAATTTAGCTAAAATTGGCTGATGCCTTCAAAACCAATCAGGGGCATACACACAAAGTGATCTTACAAGCTTGTTTCCATAGAAACTAAGCTGAAAGATATAATTTCCTGAATTTAAAAAAAAATAAAAAAGCAACCTGATCATTGAAAACCAAAAAGGGAACCAGCTGAATGTCCCCGTGTTGCACCAACCAGCCTGTCCTGCATGAGGTGTGCCAAGGCTTGCACTATCCCACCCTATGGCTTCACATCCCTTTGCTGTCCTCCGTTCCACTCCCACCTTTGCTGTCCCCTCCAGCTGCTGCCAAGCCACTATGCAACATCCTTGCTCCTCTACCCACCCAGCCCCTGCCTTTGCCCCATCTCCTGCCTGCAAATCCCCTCTCTGCAGAGAGCTCAATGTCCTCAAGCCCTCGCCTGCTTTGGTGGGAAGGAGGTTGAGCAGGAGGCCAGCCAGGCAGGAGTGCTCGGAGGGATGAGACATGTCTCCCTGCCGAGTCTCTGCCAGGAGAGGTGAACCCCACAGCCCTGCACCGGCCCAACACCCCCAAATATTCAGTGGGGACCATCTCCCTGCCACTGCAGTGGATCGCCACTGCTGCAGTGGGTCACTCCTCCGGCTCTGAAGTGAGCCAGGGGGGGTTTATGAGCCACTTTTGCAGAAAACATGTTTTGAGCAGGAAAAAAATGGCTGAAGCGGAGTCTGCTGGGGAAGCTCCCACCCCCTCAGGGTGAGCACGCAAATTCAGCACAAGGTCGTGCTGTGGAAAAGGCGGCCAATTTGCTTTGATGAGCACGGCTCTGCAGAGATGAAGCTGGACCGATAGCGTGCATCTCTCCCTGCCATCCTGTTCACTGTGACAAGGTCCCTCTCGGTGACACTGCTGATCAGACCCATCTCCTCCCTGTAGCAGCACAAACCAAAATCCCCCTGCACATTTCCTACCTGCTGCCTGCCCTCTCCCTCGGTCTGCCAGCTCCGTTACCATCTCTTTCCTTCTAACAGTGCCTGGCAGGACCCTACCAGGGCATGTGGGTCCCCAGCCCCATCAGCACCCATCACTGTCACTGCCATCATCTTGGCTTGCTGACCGTCCTACCATGGTTTTACTTGGTGGAAGATGCCACGATGTGCTCCTGCTCCAGCTGAGCCATCCTGCTAGTGCATCTCTGGGAGCCTCTGCTGCTCCCTCCTGAAATTTGACTTCATTTAGCATGTAGGCGGAGTGACTATTTTTGCACTGAACATTTGCATTTGTGAATATTCACATTTTCCAGGCAATGGTTGATTCGTGCTTCGAAACAGACCTGATCTCACCCACTAAGCTCATGCACCTGAATGAAAACCTCCACCAAGGCTGCGATGGCATGTGGGCAGCCTGGCTCCGCTCACCTCCTCCTTTTGCTTTTACTAATCACAAAATGCGTTTGCAAGAGGGGTTGCGAGCTGAGTGCCCGCGGGAAGAGCTGGCCAGGGCAGCACCTCACTGCCCAGGTCAGGGCACTGCCCCCAGCCCCTGCACACAGCAGGACCTCATCCAGCCTCAAAGTCTCCGTGTTTCCACAGGGACAGCAGACAGTGGCTTGAGACACTGGAACCTGAACCTCCTTCTTGAGTGCTGGCTGGACTGAATGTCATGTAAAGCCTGGGGACAACCTGTCAGTCAATTCTATTATCTCCCCTACCAGTATCACATAATCCCAGAGAAGGGAATGCAACCAAACAACCTTCAAGCCCCAGAGAGCTCCGGCCCAATGTACAGGCTCCACTAGGATCCTCCTGCCCCTCTGCACCTCCCCCCCTGAACCCCACACCCGGGGAGCACCCAGGGCCCCCCAACTGTCACCAGGGAGCAGGGCAGGAGGTAGTTCATGCATTTGCCTTGGCTGAAGAGCAGCGAGCCCAGCAGCCTGGCAGAGCAACACTGCAGAAATCATCCATCACTATGTAGGTCAACACTGGCAGCTGCGAAAAAATAACGTACTGGGGCATGCGGGCAAGAGAGAGAGGGAGCTGCAGGTTTAACTGGAGAGGATGGATGGACGGACAGACACAGAGATAGGCAGCGCAGTGTAGACATCATTAACCCTCCTGATGGGCACTCTTGATTTACACCACATGTATGAGGTACTAGACTAGAAACATGCATCAGTTACCTTATCAGAATATATAGACATGCGTGTTGTCAGACCAATGACAGGGATCCTGTAGAAGCCAGCAGTGTATGATACGGGTGTTGGTGTTAGGTGATCGTTGGGAGCAGGAGGGTGACTAACTAATATTGCATAGACCTGTAGGACAGGATACATGACACAAACATTATTTCACAGGAGCACATCGGCCATCAAGTGTGATCTTTTTCTTTTTCCTTTTCTTTTCTGCAAGATTAAACAGCCTCACGTTAAGACAATAACGGCATTCAAATAATGGGGAAGAGCAAAGCAAGGACTGCACCAGGGAGCGAGGGATGCTGTGCCGTGGCTCGGCTGCAGCCCGCGTGGAGGTGATGGGTCTGCTCAGGGTTATATCTTAATGGAAATGCTGTGCCTGGCCGCTCCGCTCGCTAAACTAATAACTTTCATGGATTACAGATTAAAGGGAAACATCTCCCTTACAGTCACACTGTGTAATGCGATTTCTTTAACCACACATTTAATAGTCAGTTGTAATTCCCCTCTGAGGACTATTACAAACAAAGTGGTCAGCTGGGACTCTGAGCAGGAGAAGGAGTGCAGAGCCAGGGAGCAAATCAGCCATCTGGCCCTGAGCACACAGAGAAATGAGAAATTCGGGGCGGGGAGGGGAGGCGGGAGGCAGGAGCTGGGATCTGCCCTCAGCACACCAGGGTGATGGGGTACAGGGGATCGGGGTTATAGCGAAATGGGGAAGAAGGAGTTCAGCAAGATCCTGCTGTTATCACAGGGCTGGGATTTTGGTCTCCAGCAGGATCCTATTTTGTGTCAAAGGGAGAGGAAGGAGCTGGGCAATCCCTGGGGGATCCTTTGTTACAGTAATGCCCTTTCACAGCACAAGGAATGTCCCCAGCTGGTGACAGGTCTCCAGCTACGGTGAATCACTACAAGGACTTTGATGTCTAGGAGGAAATAACACTTCTTCCTCCTCCAAGCATCTGCCCAAGCCCCAGGATGTGCTCTGCGCCCAGGCTGGAGGGAGAGGAGGATGGAGCGTGCCTAGGAAAGGGGACCTGGGGACTGAGTGGGAAGAGGGAAGATCCTGCCTGGCACTGGGTGAGAGCAAGCGGAGCGTGCACAGCAGGCTGGGGCAGGGGTTGGAGACCCTGCCGTGGGAGAAGGGAGGAATTGCTGGAGAAGGGGTTGGGGAGGTCACCTGGGGAAGCGGGAGGAGGGGAGTGCCCGGTGCCGTGCTGACATGGGGTGGGCAAGGACCTGCACCCAGCAGGGCTGGGGCATGGGCCTTGGGGCAGGACCGGGCACTGGGGGGAGAGACTGGGGGCTGCGTCGGGGCGGGGGCTGCGCTGCCCCGCACAGCAGCCGGCCGCACAGAGCG